GGTTGCAGCCATGATTGTTGTTTGGCGGGTCTGGGCTGGGGATTCGAACCTGCCACCTTAGGTGTACGTGGCTGGCGCCTTAGCTGGCTGAGCTATAGGTGCCGAGCCTAAAAAAATGTTTTTTTCTCCCCTTGGGGTTCTTCTTGGCTCCTAGGGTACCCATGGTAAAGAGGCATGTGAATTATATATGCTTCATGAGGCCCTGGGCTCAAAACTAGCCTGAGTTGAATACAGCTTTCATGACAATTAATGTGTTAAACATATAATCACCAATATTACTATACAACTAGAGTCAAGGTGAGTCCCAACAAGGACACATACAGGGCAGGTTGACAATAGGTGACAACATGGAGCCTGCTACATGAGGGGAAGCTCCCTGGAGAAGATATGTTTGAGACCCTAGAACACAGAGGGGTTTGAGTGATGATGGGGGAGGAAGGGTGCCCTAGATGGAGGGGCAGCACGTGCAAAGGTCCCGAGGTGGGAGGGGCGTGGTGAGTTTACAGGAGCAAGAGAAGGCCAGTGAGCTGGGGTGGAGGGAGCAATGAGCAGGGTGGGGATGAGGCTGGAGGGGAAACATCCCTTTTAAGCCAAGATGAGGATCTGCAGTGACTTTATTCAAAGAGCAGCGAGAACCCTCTGGAAGATTTCAGTGAGAGAAAAGATGGACTTAAGCTTTCTCTTTTCTAAAATGATTGGGTGGCTCATGCCTGCAATCCTAGCACTCTGAAAGGCCAGGGTGGTTATATTGCTTGGGCTCAGGAGTTGGAGACCAGCCTGAGCAAAAGCAAGACCCTATCTCTACTAAAAATAGAAAAACTAGCTGCAGTGGTGGCAGGTGCTGCCCATAGTCCATCTCCCCAGTAGCTGAGGCAAGAGGATCACTCGAGCCCAAGAATTTGATGTTGCTGTGACCTATGATGCCATGGCACTCAACCCAGGGTAACAGAGTGAGACTATGTCTCAAAATAAATAAATAAATAATTGGTTTAATCTGACTTCTTTTATATATATATATATATATATATTTTTTT